TGCTACACTTCTCAATGCCATCTGCAACAAACTTCTTTTCTTCACGATGGACGCCGTGGATAAAATCCCGCGAACAATCCGCCCCATAAGTTGTCCGCACCACTCTTTCGGTTATTTTTGAAGGCTTCTTGCCAAACATAACGGCACCTTGAACGACAGCAATGGCTGCATGACTGGGGATCAGTACTCTGAACTTCCTGGAAAATTCACTCTTAATTTCTTTCTGAAGAAGAGCAGAATCGGCAAACCCTCCAACCAGTAGCATTGTTTTCACCTTTGACAGCTGTGGATTTCCCTGCAGGGATCTTAAATGCTTCTTGATGTCCTCAATTACCGGAACAAACAATTTTTTCATTACTTCTGAACTGAGAGCGAGATACTCATTATTTTTCAGTTTAATATCTTTTTCGCCGTAGCGTGATCTCCAGCACTGATTTACCAGGGTCACAAAACTGCGTGGTAATCGGATGTTTGTCATCACTGTGCTGTCCAAAATGCGTTCTCCTCTCTTTTTGCCCTCGAACTCGTTCATTAGACAGAGCCAATCAGATGAATACTGTTTCCGGTAGGTTTGGAGCTTCCGCACATCGAGCAGCTCATCCAAGAGGGCTTCAAATTGTCGATTCACCTTCATTCCGCCGTATGGACCTCCTGTCACCTTGTGGATCTCTTTGATGTTACCGTCGCCGTGTATGGCGTGTACTGTGACGTCAAGGGTGCCTCCTGAACAAAAACAAAGCCAAGATAAAACAGTCAGTGCAAATAATTACTGACAGACTAGAATTATCAACGAAGCTCCACGTTGTCTTCCTTTACTCTACGGGCAAGGTGTATAAAAAACGAAAAAAGAAACAGATGACAACTTTCGATTTGTGCCATACTACATAGTGGTGACTTATGATCACAATTTACTGGTTTCTAAGCAGTTATTATTACTATGACAACGATAATGGCATCCCACTGATTCTGAACAAAAGAGATTTTCTTGAAACCCATGTAATCTAACACCCTGGATCTGTTTTCTTATATCTCAAAATGCAGTGATCAGATCACCCTCAGACGGAACTCCTTTAGGCTAAGACAACTGAAGCATGATTGGCGGCAATTTTTACTCATATATTATTTTTTTATTTTTTTTATTTTGTATTTTTTTTTGCTGTTGTAAGAATCTTTAAGATGAAAAAGACCTTGTCAGACCTTGTAGAGGTCCTCGGTTGACTCACAATTCCCATGAAGAAAAGTTTTTTTTTGTTTTTTTCAATTAAGACTGAAGCGGTCAGATAACTATACTGATTCAATTGAGGTCTTGAGCGACTCTACTGTATTTTAATTTCACGCTTTCGCCGTAGAACGGGGAAAACTTAACAAAATACGGCACAGTAGCTCAAGGTCTCAATTGAATCAATATATTTATCTATTCCGAAATGCTACTGAAGGACAACTTCAAACGTCTACTAAAGC